CAAGAATTGGAGGTTGCTATGAGCTATGATACCACAGCACTATACCAAGGGCACCAAAGTTAAGACTCTGTCTCAAAAAAAAAAAAAAAAAAAAAGCATTTGGCTTTGGAATAACTGTGGTCTTATGTTTTAGTAGACCTTCCTAACTATAGCAAAACCACTGTAAATACTGTACAGATACATAGATGTGGTACATCTCTGGTCTATGAAAGTTAGATCAGCTTAAGGAGGTGGTTAACTATATAATTTATAATTATAGTATCAGTGTATATAATTTTAATAATCCCCGAGGAGAAACCAAATGGAAATAAAATTAAATATGGTAAGACTGAAATGTATGTGTGTGGGGGGGGGAAATGATGTTTTTTAAATTTCCTTATTTATTTTTCTTCGTCTCAGCAACAACAACAAAAAAGCAGAGTCCCACCCTATGCCCTGAGCAGAGGGCAATGGCATCACAGCTCACTGCAACCTCAGACTCGGGCTGCGGGCATCCTGCTGCCTCAGCCTATGGAAGCTGCTGGGATTACAGGCACTTGCTGGGTTTTTCTTTTTTTTTAAATGACTCTGGGGTCTCACTCTCGCTCACACAAGTCATGAACTCCTAAGCTCAAGCAATTCTCCCTCCTCAGTCTCCCACAGTGCTGGGATTATGAGACAAAGATCTGGTTTTTAAAAATTGAACAAGCAATGTATGGACTGCTGACTCATCTACTCATGGAATGCTTTCATTTCCACAGTGGTGGGACCATTCACATTCTCACAGGCCCTGTGTGAGAGTCCAGACGCTCTACTTCCTCAGCCATGCCTAGTCTTTTTCAGTCTGGTCATTTTCTTGCCTTGTAGTAGTATTATACCATGGTTTAGCTTTAGAATGTTATCTCTGAGAAATTAAAAAATACCTGAGTTTCCTAAGCTAGATATGAAGTAGACATTAATGCTATTTGGTATTTTTATTCATTAACCTACTTGTAAGTAATGTGACAAGAATGATGTATCCAGATGAGTTTATTGAACTTCTGGTGGCCACTGGAACACAGTTGTAGCCCCACATGAAAACTCTGATCTGCTTCTTGTACAGGGACACGACGAAAATATCTGTATTTGTAGTCAAGTGGTTTCTGCGAAAGGAAAGACACAAGAGCTATAATGAAACCTTATCTCACTAGTATGTAAATGTTTATAAAAACATTATGTAAGAGCAACACTAAAAGTTACAATATTTGCATGCAGTAGAGAACTGTTCTGAATAGCCCGAGAATGTATATGGGTGCCTTGAAAAGTGATAAATACTCTAAGGTGATAGCAGAGAAAAACTTGATACTTTCAGTCACAATAACCCCACTAACGTCTGCATTATTTCTGTTTAGTAGCTGAATAAGTGAAGACCCAAGGACATCAAATGAGTCAACCCAAGTTACAAAGTAGTTTCCGAAATGGGAAGTAAAACTTTTACCTCCTACCTCTAAGTGTATTTCCTTCTACCAGAAAACACCTGGAAATTTTTTGAGAGACAAAACAAACTGGGGAAGACTACAGAGAAAGCAGAGTATGACTTACCTTTTGCAATAACAAAATAGTGAAAAAGAAGCTGTGACAAGATTCATTAGAATCACATTTCTGCAATTACTGCTACGAAAAACACAAAAATGGAGCTCTATGAAGAGTTTAATTGTATTATATATTCTGAAGAGAAAGACAGACGTTCTATATGAAAACTGCTAACCTCTTTTTATTAGCTAAATTCCCAATCTTGACCTTAAGAAACTCAGTCAAACCAACTATCTCTGCTTCTCAGACTGGGGCCCCGCCTCTACAAGCCTCCTAGAAGGGGCTGGAGAAGCCAGCAACAGGGGGCCACAAGGTGATAGGACTCACAGACGAAACCCTGCCCTAACCACCATCTTAGTATGTGATGCTAGAGAAAAGGCAGAGATTTCATGGGAGAACTTTCTTTCAAAAACTCTATTACTGGGGGATCATGGGGTATGACACAACTCTTGGAGATGGGACACAATTATAAGGAAGACTTGACCTAACAAATGGAATCAGTATAACCTGGTTCTTTGTACCTTCAATGAATCCCCAACAATAAAAAAAAAAAATTACTTAATAAAGGCAACATACAAATATTCCAGCTACCTCATAACTGATTTCTTGGGTATAATACCAGAGTTTTCAATCAAGATTGAAAAAGTGGGTCAACTGCAAAAGAATTCTGGGAAGATAGTAGCCATCTTGACTAGTAGCAACCCTTGGCAGATGCTTCTGACTGGAGGGAGAAAAACTGGACAGAATCAGACTCTATGAAGCCAAAGGTGGGGAGCTGAGCCAAGAAAGAAGTTCAGCGAACTGTGACTCCAAGGAAGAGCATTCAAGAAAACAAATTACATGTACAAAGCCTATTAACTATAGGACAGGAGACCCCCCTCTCCCAAGTGGGAGGCTGGTGGTAAGCTCTGTGCCAGTGAGCAGGGAACAAAAGACCTCATTTTACTTCACTGGAGAGAGCCGCTAAACTCCAGGTCTCTTTCTCCAGGGAGGTCCCATTTATGAATCTAGACACCACCCCACCAGGCATAAAATTGAACAAATATATTCCCCGACAATTCCAAACTTCCAGTCCACTCCTCCCCCCTCACATGGTGGTCTGAAGTTCTGCCCCCCACAGAGTGCAGAGTATTTGGTCTTTTCCTGAGAGATCTGGGCATAGTGTGAACCACCAAACATCAGGATGGAATCTGTGACTAGGGGGGAAGAGGGCATGGGAAGAAAGGACACTTGGCAGGAGGAGGAGCAGTCCCCTGGTTATGACTTTGCCTGGCCAGTAGTGGTGTTGACCCTTAGTTCGGGCTGTGTCTGGTGGGAGGGATGCAGAACCCCTCTGGCTCTGATGGTGCTGGCAAGCAGGAGAGTAGTTGCCTGGTGTGGACTGAGTTCAGCGGGATGGGCTGGTACGGTACCCGGCTCCAAAGCAGAGGCTTGCTGGGTGTGGACCCAGACCTGAGGGCAAGGGTGTGGTCTCCATCAGAGCTGGTAACCCTCCAGGACCAGTGAGCAGGGGCATGATCCCCTGACTCCAACAGCCCACCAGCAGAGACTTGCCAGTATGGACTGAGCCTGGCAGGTGGGATTGTGGTCCCTGACTCCAATAGAGCCAGCAAGCAGAGGCTTGGCAGGTGTGGTCTGAGACCACAGGCAGGAGCACGGTCCCCAACTCCAACTGGGCCGGCAAGCAGAGAAGTGGACACCAGTGTGTACTGAGTCTGGCGGGAGGGGGCATGGACCTCTGGCTCCAATTGAGCTGTTAGAGACCCTTGGATCCTCTCTGTTGAGCAGGGTTTATACTGCCTGAGACAATTTGATTGGGACTTGCATCCCTGTCCACCTGGGGACACTCTGAGGTTCACCTTGGAAGTTCTACAGTGGTAAAGAACTGAATGGTGAGGGCGGAGTGCCGCAGCTGTCTCTATCTTTCCACAGTCGAGATTTAAACCTAATACCGTGGCTTCTTAGGTTAGGGTAGAGGCTGGCTGATCTTAACACAGAGCCAGCTTGCGCTAGCTCACAAGGCAGGTCCTCAGAGTCTCCAGCCAAAACTCTGAAAGGGGCCTTTGTAAGCTTCTAGGAGATAAGCCACAATTACAAAGTCTAGCACTCTGGAAAGTGGATGATTAACTCTACTACCTGGGAACCCCAATTCAATTGCACCTGACCAGTTCTAATAACCAAATGGAGGAAAATAAACATGGGACAGAACCAACAGAAGAACACCGGCAACATGAATAATCAGAATAGATCACCCCTCAAGGAATGACAAAGGAGATATAACTGAAGATGCCATACACAGACAAATGGCTGAAATGGCAGAAATAGAATTTAGACTATGGATGGCAAATAAGATGAATAGAATGGAAGAAAAGTTAGAAATTGAAATCCAAAGAGTAGTTCTAAAGTTCTCTCTGCTCAGCGCCTGTGGCTCGAGTGGCTAAGGCGCCAACCATGTACACCCAAGGTGGCGGGTTCGAATCCAGCCCCGGCCCACCAAACAACAATGAAGGCTGCAAACAAAAAACAGCCAGGCGTTGTGGCAGGCACCTGTAGTCCCAGCTACTTGGGAGGCTGAGGCAGGAGACTC